TATTTAATTTGCTGTGTACTCTTTTTAACTAGATACCTTTCATAAAGCCTATCTTGGGAATACAGCCTCCCCCCTCCCACATCTCCCCCCTCCCTCAAATGACTAGCCTCTCTAATAATAATTAAACGAAATCAAGCTCTACTTTGCCTCACACCATGCCTGCAAGTCTTTTATAGATATTAAAAAAGAGTAAATGGAGGGAGGCAACCATTGTTTAAATTTGCATCTCTCCCCAACCAGGATTTCTTCTCCCCCATGCTGGGTCTATTAATTTTTTTTTAAGTTGATTTTCCAGTTTTCTCTCTATTTGTTGGAGCAACACGAGCAAATATTATTTTTTTTCTTTTACTCTGCTTCTCTAAAGCACACAACACACTATTTTCCTACCCATTCACTCATGAGCTCTAGTTCCAGGTTTCCATTTCTCAATGAGGTGTGTTTCCCCCCACACCCCCCCCCCCCCCCCCCCCAATCTTGCCACACAAACCTAATACAAGACACTATTAAAAAACTAGATCTCTCAGTGAGCCTTCTCCTAGCCAGCAGAACTTTAGGGACAAGGACAGTTAGTTACAACAAGGAAAAGGTAGCAAACCAATAATGTCATACTGGTATTTACAAATTCTTGTAGTTCTACTGTGTGGTTAAATGTATATAAGATCCTGGCATACAAGTAAAGTCTGTATCATCTCAACGTTTTTGCTAGAGAGGAGGGAAATAATAAGCATATGCTTTATAGCTTTTTTTATAATTTGACATTCACAATAATTTATAATATATTAGTGTAAGACACATAATACATTGATTTATTGTGATATACTATAGTAGACTATTACCTGACAGGAACCTGGAAAACTACAGAAGTATTGTCTACTGAAAGAGCTGACAAATTCTCATCTGCTAAAATAAATTTTTACTTCTAAAATGCTAACTAAATAAAGTTTAGTATACTTTTCTATAGATATATATGCATATAGATATATATGCATATATCGGGTCCAGAGGAGGGCCACAAAAATGATCAGAGGGCTGGAACACCTCCCCTATGAGGAAAGGCTGAAAGAGCTGGGGATGTTCAACCTGGAGAAGAGAAGGCTGCAGGGAGACCTTACTGCAGCCTTTCAATACTTAAAGGGGGCCTACAAGAAAGATGGGGATAGCCTTTTTAGCAAGGTCTGCTGTGACAGGACAAGGGTTAATGGTTTTAAACTAAAGGAGGGTAGATTCAGACTAAACACAAGAAAAAAAATTTTCTCGATGAGGGTGGTGAAACACTGGAACGGGTTGCCCAGAGAGGTGGTAGATGCCCCATCCTTGGAAACATTCAAGGACAGGCCAGATGGGGCTCTGAGCAACCTGATCTAGTGAAAGATGTCCCTGCCCATTACAGGGGGGTTGGACTAGATGACCTTTAAAGGCCCCTTCCAATCCAAACCATTCTATGATTCTATGATTCTTCTTCACATCCCTTGCCAAATCTACAACGTATGTACCAAATACTCTGTTCGAATATACTTTTGATAGATATGCACTCTACCTTCCAGGACATTGGCCTGGACTTCTGTTAAGCAGCACTGGAACCTGTTAATATGACAGCCACTACATGTTTCTTACCAAGGCATGGTTTTGCTTAGCTGGTTGACTGTGGACTTCATTTGTTCTCTTCTTTTGGCTGGGAGTGTCTTGATATTGCTTTCTGCCATTGCTCCTTAAGTTCTGACTTAGCCATTATGTTCAAAAAGTAATAAAGAGAAGAATTTAAATGGCAGCACTGAACATCATCGCACTAACACTTGCTATTTATTAGCTAAGCTTTCCTCAGAATACCTAAAAACATGTAAATGATATTTTTTTGTAGACAAACTGAAGCACACTGAAATTAACAAAACACAAACTCAAATTAGAGAGTCATCAGCTGTTACTTAGTCTCTTATACTATTACAGACACCGTGCTATACAATAAATACAGTGCAATGAGTTCCCACACACTGATGCATATATACTAGTGGTACCCAAAATATTTTGAAGTGGTACATGAAGGCTGCCCAAATGGCAAGTACTAACTGCTGTTTAGTTGTGTTGCCTCAAGTATATTACCTGATATCCACCACCTCTAATGTCAATACCAAGCAAATAAATTTCAGAATCTCCTACAGATCACTCCCTCACCATGTTTTGTTTTCACATGATATGGTGATAAAATTTAGTACTTTAGTTCCAGGGCACAATGCTTATGAATTAAGACTTCTTTTTTAAATGGCCCAGATGCACATGTTTGCCTGAGAAACAGAACCTACCTTTATTTTTAAAGCTTCAAATGTGTCGGGATGATTATATGCCATCTGTGGCTGTTTTGGCTTCAACCACTGCTCTCCTGAAAAGTCATCTATAAACACCTGCTGACTATAGCAAAGTCCAGATCTAGCACATGAAAAGAAACAAAGCTTACAACATAACTTCAGGGCTCCTGATAGCAGAACAGAAATATGAAAGAGTTTTCTGCTTCTTCAGACCAACCTGGAAGACAAGCTTAAGTAACAAAGCATGGAAACTATAATAAAGATTACTGCATTCTAAGAACTTTGGCTTTGCCTGCTAAGTAAGACACTTACACTCTATATAGACAGAAGGTCAGGTCCACGTTAGTTTCTTTAATACATCAGTGTTAGTACTGAACTGACCTGAATTACTGAAGTGTAGTCATCCCTTTGGGAGTCCAGGCTTGAAAGTGTTAGGTTATGTGATAAAAGCTCATCTGCACACCCAACAAAGGAGCTCAGAGAGGCAATGGCAGGAGGGGGAGCCCAAATAATACCCTGCCGGGCTACTCCCAGGCCCATCACAGGAGCTATCAGCCCATCAAAGGCCTATCTGCACAAGCCCAGAGGAGCACACCCTTTAAGAACAGTAGCACTTGTTCCCTTACTGATCCTTGTAGGTTTTATATCTAGCTGTTTCTGAAGTTACTTTTCAGTACTACTTCTTCAGAGGTCCCAGTTGACTGGAGGTTAGCAAATGTGATGCCCATAGTGGGAGTCTTTTATAGACCACCCAACCAGGATGAAGAGGCAGATGAAATATTCTATAAGCAGCTGGGAGAAGTCTCACTGGAGGTGAAATGGGGGGGGCAGGAACAGATACACACCCCAGGACACTAGTTAACCTTTCATCCTATTTAGAGTCCTATGAGATATTCCTGTAATGTTATTAAGCCATTCTGTTACTGGGACAGGAATACTCAGAGAAAGGACAGTCAGCTTCACATGACCTATGTTTTGATAGAAAGGCTACAGAGGTGTTAGAAGTGACCTGGTTCTTACCTTGTTTTTTCCATGTTGGGCTTAGAGGGTGTGTTCCCAGTAGATGAAAATCCATTGTCACTATCTGAGGAATCTCCATTTCTTCGAGAAAGCCATTCCCTCAAGGGCCTGTGAGAAAGCAGAAGTTAAACAAGATCCACTTACTGAAACAAATCTGAAGAAATTAAGTTGTCTGAAAGGCACTGGCCTAGCATTTTGCTCATGCGGAACATACCTGATGAAAGGAATGGCCATAAAAAATTTGTTAGGTGCCAAACCTAGCTTGGACTTGACTTCGGGGTCATTTCTGTGGCGTGGTAATTTGTTGATGGAAAACCATTCAATGTTCTAGAAAAACAACAAAGAAAATCAAATCACAAAAATCAACAAAACAACTGCTGTACATCAGAGAATTTTACAAATGCATAGCATTCACAATTATTTTATTTAATTAAACAACTACAACAAGAGACTTTAATTAACAGACGACAACAGAGTTTCCACAAAAAGTTAATTAATGATAGGGTCATTCTTCTGACTGCAACTACACAGTAATGGATGCTACAGGACATTGATTACAAGATATGATACCTAAAATAAGAAATGTATTTATCCAACAACTAAACTCTAAATAAATATTTCAAAACCCAAAAAAAACCCCACTGCGCACTCAATTCCATTAAAGATGTGATGAAGAAACTTCCTACCCTGGTATGGCCCTCAGATCATTATCCGTTATTGCTTTTTCATGTAGGCAGCACTGAAGTTGCAATAAGAAGTCCAAGGAAAACCAAAAGAGACTTCAGGGCCTTGGGACGACTGGTTAAGGGATCAGGAGCACAAGTAGTGTTCTCCTCTGTCCTTCTAGTTGCAGGGAATGATGAGGGAAGAAACAGGAAGCGCCAGCAGATCAATACCTGGCTCCGAGCCTGGTGTCTCCAGCAAGATTTTGGGGTTTTTGATCATGGGATGGTTTACATGACACCAGGCCTGCTGGCAACAGATGGGGTACACCTGTCTCAAAGGGGGAAAAGGATCCTAGCCCAGGAGTTTGCAGGGCTCATTGAAAGAGCTTTAAACTAGATTGGAAGGGGGAAAGGGGTAAAACCAGGCTTGCTAGAGATAAGCCATGGGGCGGCACACCAACATTTGACGGACGGTGTGCTAGCGAGGCCCTTCGGTCTGCCATCTCAGTGGAGGTAGGGGATAAATATCCACACGGCAGCAAAGACAGAAGGGTTATTGATGTGTTAGAAACCTTGGAAGCGCCTGAGAACAGTCACATAGGAATTAGGGCTTCTCCCCCAAAAAAGGTGGCAGGATCAATGGCCCAACTGAAGTGCATCTACACCAATGCACGCAGCATGGGCAACAAACAGGAGGAGCTGGAAGCCATTGTGCAGCAGGAAAGCTATGACATAGTCGCCATCACGGAAACATGGTGGGATGACTCGCACAACTGGAGTGCTGCAATGGATGGCTACAAGCTCTTCAGAAGGGATAGGCAAGGAAGGAGAGGTGGAGGGGTAGCCCTGTACGTTAGAGAGTGTTTTGATTGTCTAGAGCTCAACGCCGGTAATGATAAGGTTGAGTGCTTATGGGTAAAGATCAGGGGGAAGGCTAATAAGGCAGATATCCTGGTGGGAGTGTGTTATAGACCACCCAACCAGGATGAGGAAAAAGACGAAGTATTCTACAAGCGGTTGGCTGAAGTCTCACAATCCCTAGCCCTTGTTCTTGTGGGAGACTTCAACTTACCAGATATCTGCTGGAAATACAACACAGCAGAGAGGAAGCAGTCTAGCAGGTTCCTGGAGTGTGTGGAAGATAACTTCCTGACGCAGCTGGTAAGCGAGCCAACCAGGGAAGGCGCCCCGCTGGACCTGTTGTTTGTGAACAGAGAAGGCCTGGTGGGTGATGTGGTGGTCGGGGGCTGTCTTGGG